TAACTGCAAAGTGGGGTGTGCGTAATTATTCAGCCCCCTGAGTCAACACTTTGTAGAACCAGCTTTTGCTGCAGTTCCAGCTGCCAGTCTTTTAGGGTCTGTCTCTACCAGCTTTGCACATCTAGAGACTGAAATCTTTGCCCATTCTTCTTTGCAGAACAGCTCCAGCTCAGTCAGATTAGATGGGCAGCGTTTGTGAACAGCAGTTTTCAGATCTTGCCACAGATTCTGGATTGGATTTAGATCTGGACTTTGACTGGGCCAGTCTAACACATGGATATGTTTGGTTGTAAACCATCCCATTGTTTCCTGGCTTTATGTTTAGGGTCGTTGTCCTGCTGGAAGGTGAAGCTCCGCCCCACTCTCAAGTCTTCTGCAGACTCCAAGAGGTTTTCTTCCAAGATTGCCCTGTATTTGGCTCCATCCATCTTCCCATCAACTCTGACCAGCTTCCCTGTCCCTGCTGAAGAGAAGCCCCCCCAGAGTAGGATGCTGCCACCACCATATCTGACAGTGGGGATGGTGTGTTCAGAGTGATGTGCAGTGTTAGTTTTCCACACATAGCGTTTTGCATTTTGGTCTCATCTGACCAGAGCAGCTTCTTCCACATGTTTGCTGTGTCCACATGGCTTGTGGCAAACTGCAAACGGGACTTCTTATGGTTTTTTGTTAACAATGGCTTTCTTCTTGCCACTCTTCCATAAAGGCCAACTTTGTGCAGTGCACCACTAATATTTGTCCTGTGGACAGATTCCCCCACCTGAGCTGTAGATCTCTGCAGCTCGTCCAGAGTCACCATGGGCCTCTTGGCTGCATTTCTGATCAGCGCTCTCCTTGTTCGGCCTGTGAGTTTAGGTGGACGGCCTTGTCTTGGTAGGTTTACAGTTGTGCCATACTCCTTCCATTTCTGAATGATGGCTTGAACAGTGCTCCGTGGGATCTTCAAGGCTTGGGAAATCTTTTTGTAGCCTAAGCCTGCTTTAAATTTCTCAATAACTTTATCCCTGACCTGTCTGGTGTGTTCTTTGGACTTCATGGTGTTGTTGCTCCCAATATTCTCTTAGACAACCTCTGAGGCCGTCACAGAGCAGCTGTAGTTGTACTGACATTAGATTACACACAGGTGCTCTCTGTTTAGTCATTAGCACTCATCAGGCAACGTCTATGTGCAACTGACTGCACTCAGACCAAAGGGGCTGAATAATTACGCACACCCCACTTTGCAGTTATTGATTTGTAAAAAATGTTTGGAGTCCATCCATCCATCCATCCATTCGCTTATCCTTTTTCAGGCTCCAGCGCCCCACTGGAGCCTATCCCAGCTGTCATAGGGCGAGAGGCGGGGTACACCCTGCCTCTCGCCAGTCTGCCGCAGGGCCAACACACAGGGACAGACAACCATTCACACTCACATTCAAACCTAGTGGCAATTTGGATTATCCAATTAACCTATCCCCACAAGCTGCATGTCTTTGGACGGTGGGAGGAAGCCGGAGTACCCGGAGGGAACCCACGCAAACACAGAGAGAACATGCAAACTCCACACAGAAAGACCCCGGCCTGATGGTGGAATTGAACTCAGGACCTTCTTGCTGTGTGGCAACAGTGCTAACCACCGTGCCACCGTGCCGCTGTTTGGAGTCATGTATGATTTTCGTTCCACTTCTCACGTGTGCACCACTTTGTGTTGGTCTTTCACCTGGAATTCAAATAACATTGATTCATGTTTGTGGCTGTAATGTGACAAAATTCAAGGGGGCCGAATACTTTTGCAAGCCAGTGTAACTGTGCCTGACACATGACTGTCCGGCCTACAGTTAGCTGTTCTGGGTGTTTCTCATCGACTGGCAGCTGGTTCATCTGTGCTGCCAGATGCTTGTGGAGTGCAGTCAGCTTCTTCAGCCAGTAGATGTGAACCATGTCAGTGTCATGGTCCTGAGTCTGCCGACTCAGTGTTTCTTTATGCTTTTGTTTATTCTGAGTATGTTTTCTGTTATGATTTTGTTATAATGTTTGCCAGAAAACCATCAAATCTGAAGGAGTGAGAGAAATGTGCCAAGAAAAAATGAGTTGTATACAGTAAATCATTAGCGAAACGTCTTTGATAGAAACTAGAATAAGCAAGTGCAAATAAAGTAAATTTAAGAACTTGTAAAATACATATAAGAAAAGATCCAATAAAGCCACACCATAAAACACAGATAATAAAACATTAAAAACACAACATGGGTTTTCAACATTTGCTCTGTTGTTCCACTTTCCAAAGCAGTTTCAGTGAGGATCAGGTGCTCGTTCTGAAGTAGCAAAATGCCAAGACAGCAATACTCAAAATTATGTTCTATAATAAGATTATTCAATTATAAAGTTTTGCTAATGGCAGGCAAAGGTTTATTAAATTTTAATTTCATTAATTTAGAGTTCAGATTAAATTTCGTGTGGACATTAGAAGGATTTTCACTTTTGAACATACATTTTGATGGTCTGTGAGGTTGGTATGTTGCACAGTACTCTCATGAGTTTATGGACTATACATGCTGACCAGAAAAACAACAACAACACAAAAAAATCAGTCCACTCTTCTATCTCAGAGAAGCAGACAGATTTCATAATGCTATGGCGATTTGTGTCTTTATCAAAAAACAAACAAACAAAAACATTATTATATTATAAAGAAATTGATTCTTTTCTACTCTCCTGGAGTACTCAAAGCACTCTATACAGCATGCCACATCATACACACAAGCACTCTACACTTTGTCAGGGGTTTCTAACAAACATACACTTTCATACTGGTGGGGGTTAAGACTGGGGGAGCCAGGAATCAAACCACCAACCTTCTGATCAGCAGATGACCTGCTCTACCTCCTGAGCTACAGCCATCACCTGCAGTAGCCAAAGAAAAGAAAAAAACTGAACTGAGCTGAATGCATGTGTTTAGCGCCAGAGTTTGGAGGGCCAGGAGTGACTAAAATATGCCATTAAATAATTAATTAAACGTTTCATTAAATAATTAAAACTGGAATTAATTAATTAAATTAATATTTCAATAAATATTTAAATGCCCATTCATTTTATTTAAAACATGTAATCAATTATTTATGTCTTCATTTCCAATTTTTAAATTAATGACACATTTAATTAACAATTAATTAATTACTACAATATTGACACATTAAATTATTTATTTATTTAAATTTTTAATTATTTATTAACAGATTTAAATCATTATTTAATGGTGTATCTACCCTGACCCTGCGGCTGTCTTCATGAATTTATTTTATCTGTCAGCCTCACCCATCAAAGTCAGGGGGTGGAGTCAACACCATTGCTTTGGCCTGGTGGCCATGTTTTAGTGGGTGTTTCTCAGTGCCAACAATGGACATGTGGAAATAACTGAACTGTACTTTGAAATACCCTGTTTGTATGTCACCAAATATACTTTGAATATTTTTCTAGCCGGGAATGTAGTGTTTTAGTCTTGAAATATCTGGTCGGTTTGTCACGATTTGTCAAGAAATTGGAATTAATTGATTAAATAAATATTTCAATAATTAAATGCCCCTTCATTTAATTTAAAACATTTAAAAAATTATTTATTTATTTGTTTCACATCTTAATTTTAATTATTGACACATTTAATTAATAATTTATTGGTGTATTTAATTAATTCATTTTGTCACTCCTGGCCCCCCATCCGCAGAGTTGAACTCGCGTTATCGCGAGGTTGGTCTTATTTTGAATTCAGGAGCAGGGCTTTGTTTACTTCCGGTGTACACAGAAAGGTTGAAAACGGCTGGTTCTCCAAGAAAAGGTACTCAATATGTTGACAGTGATGGTTTCAGCATTAACCGCGTTATAGGAAATGTGCTTTCGTCACTTTTTGTGTGTGTTTTCAGCGAGCTTTGCTTTTCTGTCCTGTTATACGATCACGACGGTGAGATAAGCATTTGGCCCTAAAGCTGAAGTTTACACAAGTAACAAGCTTGGCGCGTACGCGATGAGGAGTGAAAAAAGGCTTTCTAATGGACACGTGCTTTCATGCAGTCATGTTTGCAGCAGGGCGGAGGGGTCAGACTTCCCTGCCTTCTTGGTTTATTCGTGCTACAAGTATATGTGGCACTAAATTGCAGTAATCACACGGCTGGACTCAACAACGCCACGTGTGACTCATGTCATGTTTGCATGTTTGTGCAGGTGTTAATGATGACGGTCCTGAATCTGTCCTTTGCTGCGTGTGGTTTCCTGGGGATCTATCACTTGGGTGCCATGGAGGCCTTTCTCCGGCATGGGCACAAGCTGCTGGGCTCCCTCGGGGCCTGTGCAGGTGCTTCTGCTGGGGCACTGGTGGCTGCTGTAATGGTCACAGCTCCTGAAAAGTTGGAGGTATCGTGTACAGTCCAGGGGTATGTGGGGTTAGTGAAACCCTCTGGTCTCTGAGCAAAATGGAGACAAACTATTTCTCGCTCCTGATTCTTGCTTCTTCTTTAGTACTGGCAGTTTTTATATGTGTGTGTACGGGACTAAAGACTTTGTCAGGGTGAATGATGCTCAGGGATACTTGCTGTTTTAGTGATGCACACTGTAACAGCCGATCCTATAAAATAACAACTCAGATGTTAGCGTACTCAGAGTGAGTAATTAGCTGTAAATTCAGGAATCTAGATGAACAACAAGCGATTGAGTGAAATGTTATTTACAAGGCGCACTGTGCTCATATATCCTCTGTTCTCAGTTAGTTTTGCAGATTTCAGACTTTGATTGTATTGAGATAAATCACCAGCTGTGCAGGAAAAATGAATCTGTGAGTGTAGAGCTGAGTGAATGAGCTTTGTTACACTAGTGACTGAATGATATGACTGTGCTTTCATCATGGTGTTTGTTTCCTTCTTCCAGCACTGCAAAGACTTCACCTACAGGTTTGCTGACGGTGTGAGACAGCAGCGGTTTGGGGCCGTCACACCAGGATACAACTTTATGCTCACACTCCGGTAACTACTTAGCAGAAGTCTCCTCAACAATCACCGGGCAATGTTACACGATGGAGGTGTTGATGTCTCCCATTGTGGACCTGCAACACGTGTTGCTGTGAATACTGGTTGGTGGTCAATGACCAGCTTAAACACTGAAAACACTGTGGAGATATTTTCCACCTGCTGCAGCGTCATAGCTCTGTGTCACGCAGTGGAAGGTGCACTGAGTTTGTTTAATGCCACAGTAGCAGTGGAATAGACAGATTCATTATCCCCTGAGGTTAACTTGCAGTTACTTTTATGATCCTCATGTTTTGTACCTTACACCATTATCAGGTCAGAAAGCTAAAGCCTTTACCAAACCAGTCAGTCTCTTCAGATTCAGCAGGCATGAAGCACAAGTAGTATCTATGGGTTAACAAGCCTGTTTCAAACATTCCCACAGTTCATACTTCATGTCAGGACTAAACAAACTACGTAACCCTGGAGCACCGTCAGCTGTAGCTGTGCAAAGATGTTTGGTTCTTTCTAAACAAGTCACTGTTTGGCTGAATGGAGCCTGAGCAAGACGTGTTTGGCCCGGGTGCGATCAGGACTTTGTGGAAGAACAAGATTCGACTGAACTCTTAACACGTGCTTTCTGTCAGTGAGCTCGGGACGTTTGTCAGAAAGACTCAGCTGCAGGTCTGTTAATCAGAGTCATAATGGCTTTTTAATTTTCATCTTTTTGTTTTCAGCTTTGTTTGGTTCCAGTTTGCTTGCACTGTGCGGTTTCATGCTTCAGTTTAGTTTTTTAGTTTTAATGCAGTTATTATATTTATATACACTGCCAGTCAGACGTCTGGACACACTTTGTCATTTAATGATTTTTCATTATTTTTACTACTTTCTACATCGTAGATAAACCGAAGACATTCAATATATTTAGATTCCTGACAGTAGCCGCCCTCTGCTGTGTCGACAGCTGCAAACCCTCGGCCTTCTCTCAGTGAGCTTCATGATGTCGTCACCTGACATGGTTTCACCTCACAGCCTGTCAGGGTTCATTGGTGGAGTTTCTTGCCTTCTTAATGACGTTGGCACCATCGGTTGTGCAGCGGTCAGGTTGGTGCACAGCTGACAGCCCTATTTGACAACTGTTAGAGTTCATATTATGACAAGAACCAATCAGAGTAGAGAGAAACAACAGCTCATCATTACTTTAAGAACTGAAGCTCAGTCTGGAAAACTGGTCAAACTTTGAATGTGTCCCCGAGTGCAGTCGCAGAAACCATCAAGACCACAATGAAACTGTCTCACGTCTCAAAGGACAAACACAGTAACTGAAGCTGAAAGCACACAAAGAACGACAAACAGCACCCAGGACTGCAGCACGTCAAAGCTTCTTAGCTGCTGATCTTGGCCTAGTATTCCTAATTCTTCCAGCTTTAGTCTCAGGTGTGTGTATGCTATTAAAACTCATCAAATTATTCATATTTAATGATTTTTCATTTGCTGCTGACCGAGTTTGTGATAGACACAGAAAACAGGTAAAGAGGCAGGGGGCGACCTGCTGCTGGCGGTTAGTTTGTCAGTATCTATGCTTGATGATGATGTAAGCTGAGGTGTGAGGAAGGCACACGGCAGCTGAATAATCGCACGTCCCTGTAAAACAGTGTTTACGATGCCCTGTGGAGATGATTCCATTAAAGCTCTGACAAATGAACATCTGCGTGTGGATTTTCCCACAGGGAGGGGATAGAAGAGATTCTCCCCACAGAGGCTCACAGTCTGGCCACTGACCGCCTCTACGTCTCAATAACACACTCAGAAAGTGGCACGAACCACAGCGTGTCGACGTTTACCTCCAGGGAGGAGCTCATAAAGGTTCGCACCCCTCTCTGTAAACACACACAGTCCGTTTCAAACATGGTCATAAATGTTTATGATTGTTTTACAGCCTTGTTTCTCTCCAGTCTTCAGTTTAGTGCTTTTACTACTATAAATGACACCGTGCTGTATATGAGCTGTTACCTGACTGCACGCGCCTCGTGACCAAAATGTTGAGCGACGAGCTGCCGAACCAAGTGTTTTTGCCGGATAACTGTCCCCCTCTTGTACCTGTCCAGGTCCTGTTAGCCAGCTGCTTTGTCCCAGTCTATGCTGGACTCAAACCAGTAGAGCTCAGAGGAAAGGTAAGGGTTTATGCCGGTGTCAGAACAAAATCAATGGGTTCATGATGTTCCGCAGGAACGAGCGACAGCTTGCTAGACTGATAAATCGAATGCTTTGCTGACTTCAGAGTGTTCGGTGCTAGAAAATGTTAAACATACAAAAGTAGATTATTGAGTGTGAGGAATGCTTGAATACATGTCAACTCTACTCTTTACTGGTAAAGACAACAGCCAGATATCACAGTCCAGGGTTAAAATGAGCTTTAACATGTGGGCATGAAAGAGGTTCTGAATAATACCTGAGGTTTTGTTACAACGAGCCAAAATGCCTGGTAAAGAAGATATTTGAATGTGTCTTGAGCCACTTTTACACATGAATTGTGGACGACGATGCATCATCTGAAGTTAATAGAGGCCTTTGCTTCAAATAGCACATAACAGGTCCTCTTCAGATGTGCTCTTACTGCTGGAAATCAGTGGAAACCCTGTTCCTTTGGTTCAGGTGAGGGTACACGCCACACCCACTCGCTGTAAATCCACGAGGCCTGTGCTGTTCTCACGTGGATGTAACCTGACATCACGTGGAAGTCATAGAGCGGACAGCTTTCTCTGCTCCGGCTGCTTCGTGCACTAGATTTGAACGTGTCCGTGCTGGTTGGGTTGTAGGAAAGTTCAGGTTTGCAGGGCTTGTCTACAAAGTATTTAATGACAGGATTATTTATGCAGCTGTAGCTCAGGATGTCAAGCAGGTCATCTGCTAATCAGAAGGTTGGTGGTTCCACCCTGGCTGCTTTTCTCTCCAGGCCATCCATCAGAGTGTGAACGTCAGATAAAACACACCAGCTTCCCTGTCCTGTTAGCATGTTTGTGATTGTCTGAAAGTCTAAACAGCTTTCTTTGCTCTAAACCTTTTTGTAGCTGTTGTGTGACCAGAAGGCTCTTTGTTTCCTGTAGAAATGGATTGATGGAGGATTCACTGACAGCCTGCCGATCCTGCCTGTGGGACGAACCATCACGGTGTCACCCTTTGCTGGACGGCAGGATGTGTGTCCGATCCACAGGGGGCGGTTCAAAACTCAACTCAGCTTGGCCAACATGAACATAATGGTGAGAACCGGAGCATCTGATTGGTCTGTAAGGAGAAACCTGGATTCCCAGATTATTCTCCACCTTCAGCTTTTTACCATAACTGAGCAGCGTGTACGGCTAATAGTGCTAAAGATATGTGCCAGGCAACAAAGCTTTCTCACTCTGTGAACTTCCTGTCAGTGCACGTGGAGCACACCACCACCACCACCCAGTGCTCCAACCTGCTGGTTGTATTCAGCTTCTTCAGCAGCTTCAAATTTCCGGAGAGTCCGAAACCAAAGTGCTGCAGTTATGAAACAGAGTCATGTTCAGATATGTGGAGGGTGCGTTCAGACAGAACTGACCGGTGTCCTTCACACGGTCACAGTTCAGATATTAGTCTTTGGCATTACGTTAATAATAAAGGTAAAGAGTTCTGTAATCTTAGATGTGCTGCCAGAACCATAAATCTTTTGATCTCGTTAGAAGATGAAGTCGAGCTGTAGATGTTATTTGACCTGATCCAGCTCACAGCACAAAGTGCAGCACGTCCAGCCGTGAATGGCTGCGTGTGCGTGCAGAAGGACGTGTTTCTGTCACTTTGTTGATGTGAACGCAGTCTTTCCGTTGGCTTCCTCAGCTTTCCGTGGAGAACCTCAAACGTCTGAATCAGGCTCTGTTCCCTCCGTCCGCCGGCGCCATGCGTTCGTTATGTGAAGAAGGTTTCACAGACGCCGTGAGGTTCTTAAAGAGAGAGGGCTGGATGGGCTGAGCGTCACACATGGACAAATGGAGCGTGTGAAGCCTGGAGTGTCGTTTACCAAGAAGGAATAAACATTTTCTGTATTTATACGTACTCACCCAGGAAACAGACACATGCTAGAAAAGTAACTGCACCGATGTTTGCATGCAGTGATGTTGAAGTGATTCAGCCTTTGACTTGGTGCATGTTTGGAAAGATGGTACATTGTGGGCTTCACTCAGATTACTTTGATCACACAGGCGTCCTCTCTGTGACAGCATGTGAACCTGGACTTTTATCATAGTTTCTTTTCTTTTGACTTGAAGCAAAGTGAAAAATATCGGATATCCGTGACCCGCCTCACAGAAAGGTTTGTGCCGCCCTCGTGGATGCCGGCGGCTCCCCCAGGACACGAGGCAGCACGAGTCTTTGAAGGGTTGGATGTTTGTGCAGGTTTGACTGCTGCTGGGTCACCGTTTGATTTCCTTCAGGAGCGACTTGGTGTGTGCGAGAGCTGCTCTGCACTCAGCCAGGCGAGGCAGCAGTTACACACATGCAGCAGACTGCAGAGGACGGGCTGGGATCAGGATATTCCAGGAACCCTCAGTGGCATTTCCATCTTTTCTATACAGTCTTTTTGGTGAACAGCAGTGTGAAGGCTGCGATGGGGCTGTCGGTGCTGCTGATCTTTAAAACCAGGAACTCCATGTGTTCTGTTTTTTGATGTCCTTTAAATGATGTTTGTTGTAAAATGAGTGATTTGAACGAGTAAACAAAGGAATGTCAAATAATAATGTTCTTGTCGTCGCTGTCATTATTCTCTCAGACCCGAGCCGGCTGTTGGGATGTCTTCGCTCCCTTATCGTCTCTTATGTAGCACGTCTGTGCTGACATGATGCCGTATGAAATCCATCATAGATACTGTGCATACTGACGAAAGTGACAGGGAGCGCCGCAGCTTCATTTTAGGCTCAAGACGTGCAGAAGTCCACCCAGGGATGTGCATCATGAACAGTCCTGAGTAGTACAGAACCTGAATGTTGTATCGTAGTCAGTTAAACATTATTAGTAACAGAGATCTGTGAAGATCTGCTGCAAACACAGAGGTCATCCTACTGTCTGCTGTCATCAGTCAACTTTTATTCTTACCTTTAACAACAAAGTCTTCAACACTAATGTCAACAGACAAACATGACCTGAGTCACCAGGACAGGCTTGAGTTTGTGTTTGAGTTCTTACTGAAACGATTCAGGATTGTTTTGCATTTTAAACTTGTAACATCTAAATTTGATTTCGACACACACACACACACACATATCCCACTTGTGCGTATTGTGTTATTATGTAAGCTCACCTGCTGCTTGTGGTAATAAGGCTCATTTAAAGCTTCCGCCTGCGGCAAAGAAACCCCAGCTTGTGTTTTTCTCCCTAATGTTGAGTCTCGTAATGAACTACAGTAGGGGACTGCTGTGTGGACGGAGGCCAGCTGAAGGAGCTCATTTGTTAGTGTAATTATTCAGCTGCTGACTTCAGTGTATGGGACTGAAAAGCTGTTGTTCACACCTGCAATGTGTTATTTGTGTGATAAGCCGTTCAGATCCACTGGAAAGCAGAGAATGCTTTTCAGCTCCTGGAAGTTTTTCATCTGCGAGCTGCACTGTCCTCTGGTCCTAAACGAATGCAGTGGAAACTGATTCTACAAAGGCCCAAAGAGGATGGAGGTCTAGTATTTATGCAATCCAGGAACATCCGTGCCCTTTGTGCTGTTCTGTCCACAGTTATTTGGGGAAATGGGATTCTGGGCTGTAACCACAGTACTGCAGTAGAAGCTCCCGCTGAGCCCCGGGGCTGCTGGGAGATCCAGTCGGCAGATATGATTGGTACCTTTGCACAGGCTAATAAACAACTCCACAAGCTGCAAAGATTTCTTTGTTACCCTCGCCTGCACGCTGAAGAAATAAGCAAAACATAACGGCTATTTCCTGATTGTTTTCTACACTGTACTGTCTGAGCATGAAGGAGCGTGACACGTATTAAAGTATATGGCCTAAACTGAGGGCGAATCAGGACGCGTGATATCCCACCCTGTGTTCTCAACAGACGAGCTCTGATGTGACTTACGGTCTGCAGTCCTCATCATAGTCAGCCTGTCCACGTTCCCTCAAAGCAAAGAGCTCACTGCTGAAACACACCAGGCTACAGGTCTGTTAGCGATGCTGAGGGTTGGTTTTATTTTTTTTTTGCAGGCACATTCAGACAGTGTATCCAACTACAACAGGGCTGTCGAACTCCAGGCCTCGAGGGCCGGTGTCCTGCAGGTTTTAGGTGTCACCCTGGGTCAGCACACCTTGACCAAATGATTAGTTCATTACCAGGCCTCTGGAGAACTTCAGGACATGATGAGGAGGTCATTTAACCATTTGAATCAGCTGTGTTGGATAAAGGACCCGTCTAAAACCTGCAGGGCACCAGCCCTCGAGGCCTGGAGTGTGGCCAGGGGTGTCACACTCCAGGCCTCGAGGGCTGGGTACTTCAGACCCAGCAACACACTCAGACAATAACTAGAACTGAAGAAGCTTCTCGGATGAGAGGTGAAACGTCTTCAAGCAACTTAAAGAAGTCCAGACGCTTTTCTTTCCACGCTGTGGGCAGGTTTTATGCCTGAAACACACTGAACACATTTACAGGTCACGTGCCCCGATGCTCAGCCCCAGACTAAGCTTTCATTGGTTGTTTGTTCACACGCTCACATTCTGTGCAGTTTAGGCTGATTTCTTTGGATATTGATGAGTTCAAATTAACTTTTTTCCTCAGCTCTGAGGAATGAATAGATACTGCTGTTCTCTGATCTCTCAGTCCACTACCACCAGTGCCAGATATGATCACAGAGGTCCTGCGACTGTCATCAGCCACAGACGCACTGTTCATGGAGCTTTTCAGAGAAGTCAGGCTTGAACCTGTTACGGTGTTGCACAAGATGATGTTTTTCAGCCGTACATCTAAATGTGGTTCCAATAAGTTTATTTGAATTTCGAGCTCCAGTGACTGAACCTGAACTGGAACACACAGACACAATAACTGATGGTTAAAAAGATGCTAGGGCAGGTCCTGACTTAAACATGGGGTGGTGGGGTATGGAAAAGGGCTCAGATAAGACTGGCTGCAGGGGCCCGGGAGCCCCGCCCCTCCCTGAGCATAGTTCTGCTGCAGGTTACTTCCTGTTAAAAGGGTGTTTTTCCTTCCCACTATTGTAGAGTGCTTGCTCACAAGACATTTATAGTTTTCACTGTAATTATAAAGCACCACTGACACCATCAGTGAACTGGTGCTATAGATGAGTCTTCTCTGGGAAAATAACCCAAACGGCAGCAACATGGCTCTCTTCCTGGTGCTGCTGAAGGTTGTCACTGTCCCCCTGGCTGAGGTCAGCGTTATCTTGGATTCCAAAAGGTTTCATGCCATCCCACAGAGGTTGATTATCTTGTTAACAATTTCACTTCTTTACTGTATACGAATCTGCTCCTCTGAAAAAGAAATTCTCACATCAGAGGTATAACTTTCAAACACTCACCTGAAAGCAGATGACTCGTAAGCTGGAGAGTCACAAATTTAGAAGATCATCATTTAGCCTGGAGAAATAGTTTGCTGCTTTATAAGAAAGCCCTCCGCAAAGCCAGAACATCTTACTATTCATCACTGATTGAAGAAAATAAGAACAACCCCAGGTTTCTCTTCAGCTCTGTAGCCAGGCTGACAAACAGTCAGAGCTCTGTTGAACCAACCATCCCTTTAACGTTAACTAGTAATGACTTCATGAACTTCTTCACAAATAAAATTCTTATCATTAGAGGAAAAATTACCAATAATCATCCCACAGATGTAATATTATCTACAGCTACTCTTAGTACCATTGATGTTAAGTTAGACTCTTTTTCTCCAGTTGCTCTTTCTGAGTTAACTTCAATAATTACTTCCTCCAAACCATCAACGTGTCTTTTAGACCCCATTCCTACAAAACTGCTCAAAGAAGTCCTGCCATTAATTAATTCTTCGATCTTAAATATGATCAACCTATCTCTAATGATCGGCTATGTACCACAGGCCTTCAAGCTGGCTGTAGTTAAACCTTTACTCAAAAAGCATCTCTAGACCCAGCAGTCTTAGCTAATTATAGGCCAATCTCCAACCTTCCTTTATATCACACATCCTTGAAAGAGTAGTTGTCAAACAGCTAACAGATCATCTGCAGAGGTTTATTTGAAGAGTTTCAGTCAGGTTTCAGAGCTCATCACAGCACAGAAACAGCTTTAGTGAAGGTTACAAATTATCTTCTTATGGCCTCTGACAGTGGACTCATCTCTGTGCTTGTCCTGCTAGACCTCAGTGCAGCGTTCGATACTGTCGACCATAATATCCTATTAGAGCGATTAGAACATGCTTGTAGGTATTACAGGTACTGCGCTGCAGTGGTTTGTATCATATCTATCTAATAGACTCCAGTTTGTGCATGTAAATGGAGAGTCCTCTTCACACACTGAGGTTAATTATGGAGTTCCACAGGGTTCAGTGCTAGGACCAATTCTGTTTACATTATACATGCTTCCCTTAGGCAGCATCATTAGAAGACATAGCATACATTTACACTGCTATGCTGATGACACCCAGCTCTATCTGTCCATGAAGCCAGATAACACACACCAATGAGTTAAACTGCAGGAATGTCTTAAAGACATAAAGACCTGGATGGCCGCTAACTTTCTACTTCTTAATTCAGATCAAACTGAGGTTATTGTACTCGGCCCTGAAAATCTTAGAAATATGGTATCTAAGCAGATTCTTACTCTGGATGGCATTACCTTGGCCTCCAGTAACACTGTGAGGAACCTTGGAGTCATGTTTGACCAGGACATGTCCTTCAACACACATATTAAACAAATATGTAAGACTGCTTTCTTCCATTTGTGCAACATCTCTAAAGTTAGAAATATCCTGTCTCAGAGTGACGCTGAAAAACTAGTTCATGCATTTATTACTTCCAGGCTGGACGACTGTAATTCATTATTATCAGGAAGTCCTAAAAACTCCCTGAAAAGCCTTCAGCTGATCCAAAATGCTGCAGCAAGAGTCCTGACAGGGACTAGAAAGAGAGCAGATTTCTCCTGTTTTGGCTTCCTGTTAAATCCAGAATTCAAAATCCTGCTCCTCACATACAAGGTCTTAAATAATCAGAATCAGAATCAGAATACTTTATTGATCCCTGGGGGAAATTATTTTTTGTTACAGTGCTCCATTTTAAACCAACAGAGGTAAAGAAAATCAGGCTTGGTTGAACTAGTTACCTTTAAATCAGGCCCCATCTTATCTTAATGACCTTGTAGTACCATATCACCCTATTAGAGCGCTCCGCTCTCGCTCTGCAGGCCTACTTGTTGTTCCTAGAGTATTTAAAAGTAGAATGGGAGGCAGAGCCTTCAGTTTTCAGGCCCCTCTTCTGTGGAACCAGCTTCCAGTTTGGATTCAGGAGACAGACACTATCTCTACTTTCAAGATTAGGCTTCAAACTTTCTTTTTTGCTAAAGCATATAGTTAGGGCTGGACCAGGTGACCCTGAATCCTCCCTTAGTTATGCTGCAATAGACGTAGGCTGCCGGGGGATTCCCATGATGCACTGGGAGTTTGTACTTCAGTCACAGTTGACATCATGTTCATACTCTGCATTCAATTATTAGTTATTATTAACCTCTGTCTCTCTTCCACAGCATGTCTTTATCCTGTCTTCCTTCTCTCACCCCAAC